TCAAAATTCTCAATGAAGTTTGTTCTGAGATCCAGAAGCAAACTAATACTGAAATACATAACAATTGGATTATCAACAATAATAAAAAAGGTTAGTAAAACTATTAACAAACAACAAAATTACAATATTAACTACTACAATTTTGAGAACTTGTACACCACCTTACCACTTAAATTTGAGTTCTATCATCTATTTCCAAGCATTGAAAACTTAAATAATTTTGATAATTGGGACTTGTACACTTAACTGTACTTCACAATTTTATTAAATATCAAAATAAAATTTTTCTACAAATTAATGGTATTCCTCTGGCAACTAATTACTCCACTGCTATCTATAACCCATTCTTCTTCATAAAGGAATATAATTTTATTCACAATTATCATACACAAGACCTTTTTAAATTTACCTACAGGTATACAGATGACACTATTGCCATTAATACAGTCAAAAGTCGTTAATCCGGACTCGTCGGGACTTCGGCGATTCCGGATTATCGATTTTTCCAGATTATAGATCATCAGTTTAAATCTGGTAAGATGGCATGCAGAAATTAAAAAATTAAAAATATGAAACCGTAATTTATGAAATAAAGAACAATTATGATCTAAAGGGTATCAAAATTTACAAAAAGAAAAAGCTTAATAGTTATTTGTTTACTTTATTAAACATTTATTTCAATGTATAAGTTGCTTCATTTCAAGTGATAATACTTTCTCTTTAATTCTATTAAACAGACATTATTTCTTGTTTAGTTACAAAGTTCCGCTGTTCAAGTCCTATAATTGCTGTGTCGAGAATACCGACTAATTTGTCAATCGAAATTTTTTCGTTTTCAATAACCTCTGTTACTTTCTTCAGTATCAGAAGCGAATTATAATGATGAGGAACTTGTTTTAAATCCTATCAACGACGGAGTACATCGAGATGAAATACTACATTTAGTATGGAATTCTAAGCCAAATAAAACAAAAACATCTGCCTTGAAGATAAGGATAGTGCTGACAGATCAACTTCCAATTCATTGCGCGCCGTGGCGTTCCTCCCCGCCGAGCAGCGCGAAATTGATAAACAGATTTCGGATTTTGAAACATACTTTCGCTTTAGATCTCCTTTACATATTAGCAAATATATCTTGGAAATATATTGAATATAATCGAAAGTTCAAGCTTACTTTTACAAAATTGCTCTAACAGTCTGCAAAAAATAATAAGCCGGATCCAATTCGAAGATTAAGGAACAATGCAATCTGCAACATTAACTGAATTAGATAATTTTAGCTTAGCTTATACCGTCCGTTATACATTAAACGCCCATGCATAAATGTTTTATGCACACGTGCACATGCATATTCGCAGCCGTAAAGGTCTTACGGGCACACGTAAACGGTTATGCGGCGACGCGTGCGCAGAAAATTTGTAGCTTTGAGGTCCGGATTATAGATCATTCCGGATTATGGGTGTCCAAATTAATGACTTTTGACTGTAATTACAACGATAATAAAAAACAAGCTACCAAACTTAAATGCCTCAGCTTAATGAAATTAACAAAGAAAACACCTAAATGGATTACCTTTACCTATAAGTTTACAATTTCAGCAATATTACTTTATTCGATAAAAGAAGACTTTTGAAAACAATTAAACTAATTAACTGGAATCTAATTAAAGCAAAAATGACCCCAGGCAGATTACAATATTAATCAACATTTTAATTAGATAGATGGACATTCACAGCATATGTGCAGGAGAGGAAAGGAAGCATAACATATACACATACATACAGCGGAAGAGAGAAATCATTGCATGCCTCAAACGGGCGTTGTGGTGTGCCTTGATAAAGGTGAATGCCACATGCATCAGAAGAAGCGAAACTCTAAGCTAAACGATGGATATTACAATGCAACACTAATATCTTCAAAAAAATTATTGCTAACACTATCAATCAAACAAAAAGAATAAAACTATTTGTAATAACAGCAATGATTTTAAAAAAGAGCTTAATTTATGAATTCTAAAATATAACAAAATTCACATATTTTCATCAAAAATTCAGTTAGCCAAAATATAGGTGTCAATTTACAGAAGAAAAAAAAAAAATTCCCACCACCACGCTGCTGCTTTTCATGAAAAGCTATACCTAAACCAATATGGTGATATAGTTTGGGTGTCCTTAATACAGTTAAATTAGGCATTCTTGTCAAAATTCTAACACTGGTTTTAATTTAGATTAGACTGTCTATAGTTTTCTATCTTTAATTAATAAATGAGCTTTCCTGTCTCAAGAACATCTGGCCGAACAAGTTATATTCTGTTACATTTGACAACTTTTATTTTCAGCCTTTATACCATTTTATGTTACCTATATTTTTTAACATTTTTCAAAATTTCTGTTTTGCATTCTCCAAGTTTGCTCACAACTTCATTCACAGTTTACTAGACACAGTCCCTACTACATCACAGTATTCTAATTTTTTAAAATTATTTATTTCTTCACAATGTTTTTAATTTAAAGTTTTTAAAAATTAATTTGGTTTTAAACACTACAACTTATTTCATTTGCTGAACTAAACACCACAACTTATTCCATTTGCTGAACTAAACACTACAACTTGCCCCATCAGTTGAACTGAGGCAAATTAATACTTCACTTGAACTGTCAAATTGGAGTATTTTGGAATTCATAATCCAGATAATTCAACGTTAATTCCTTTTCAAATTTATTCATTTTTTAATACAATATATTTTATGTCACAATAGGCCTTTCTTCCAATTTGTTTTATTGCATTTAATCAGTTTAAAATTCGTAGTTTATCTAAATTCACTACTTAAATTACTTGCTACTATACGGCCTAACATGTTTTTTCATTTCAAAATTTTTGGTGCTCTAATATTATAGATTTAAAGAACTAACTCCTGTGTTTATTTTATTTTTATATATCAAATTTTCCTTTATTTTTTCATAAGTTGGAATACTTCTGTGTTTTACATGTTTTTTAACTCGATCCACTCACGTTGAAAATCATTATTCAGTTTTTACGAATTTTTACTTGTTAGTCCAAAGGGGCTTTGTCCCTGAAGGTCTATTGTTTTTGTTTTGCGATTTTGCATTGAAAACTTTAAAAGAATGTACCATTTTTCAAATCGTTGCCACCAAATACTATCACCCTGTATTATATTTGAAGAAATAAAATAATGAAGAATCTGCATAAATGTATGTATGTTTCTTGAATTGTGATAAAACAATGGTACCTAGAGCTATTCAATTTTGAATGATGTAATCCTACTGTGAATATGGGCATCTGAAAGCCCAAATTTGGAATTTGTTCAAAGACTAACTCTTGATCATACAAGTTATTTGTCTCAAATTTTAATTTTGTAGGATTTTGTATTTTTATAAAAACACTTTGATACAATGTACAATGCTCAAAATCAGTTACCTTTTATTAGGCAAAGGAAGTTTTTTGATATTTTGTACCTAGCACCCCCCAACCACCATCAGCAAGCTCGTCACGCTGATCTGTTGGAGAGAACATGCCAAAGTTTTTATTCAAGGTGTTATTGTTTTATGAAATATTACATTATATTATTAGAAATTTATATTGAATAGTTTTTAAGGTATTATATCACAATGTTTTGTATTGAATTTTAAAATTATTTTAAAATATGTCAATGTGTTGTTAATTACCTACAATGAGAAGAATGAATGCACATAATATATTATTTATAAATTGTATATCTTCTAAGTTTTATATGAAACGAAAATTTTAAATAACTTCTATTCAAAAATTATTATTGAATCATATTTATTGGAAAAAGTGCATAATATTTGTGAACACAAGATGAAAATAACTTTACTCGCATCAAGAGACTTTAAAAAATGTTTCATTCGACTTCAATTATTTTTATGAAAAGACTTTAAGACCAAAATTTCATTTTCAATGGACATTTTGGGAAAAATTCAGGAATTTTATGCTTGTAATTTATTTATTATTATTCTTCCACATAAAATTTAGTTATATGTTTATTTATAAATCATTGTAAAATTGTATAATTTAAAAACTTTAAATTATATGAGAAAAGATCATGATTTATTATAGGACATAGTTAAAGCTATGTCCTGGATGTTTCTTCACGTCCTTCCTCATACTTCCTGCTTCACTAATCTACTAATGCTTTGCTCACCCGGCCTCTTGTTTTTGAGGGGGGGGGTAGATGTAAAATATAAAAAAATATGATGGCTTTGCTCTATGCAAACAAACAATCTCCGATTAACTTTCCGCAATTTAGGATCTTCCCCCTAGACCAGTTTTTTTGAGAACATTCTAGCTATTATGTAACTGCTACTATAAATAACAAATGTGTGCCATTTTGCGGACAGAAGCTCGCCACTCCTCCTGTACTACACATCTCGCTGCTGCTTAATCTATCTTTCCTTTGTTAGAAATAATGATGACTCATAAAGTTTAAATTCAGTCATACTTAGTTTAAACTACTATTAAATATGTGATTTGGAGAATTTCATATGAAGTAAAGCATGATCTATGGTGAAAATTGAATTAAAGCTATAGAATAAAGATGTGTAATTAAAAGCTAATTCATCTTGTCTCGTCATTTGGATTTTGCTTTCCCACTCTGCAAAAGCAATGCCTGAACTTTGACACCAAGCTTCATCATGACTGCCGAAATATCACATATACATAAATACATACATACATTTTAAAGGAAGAAGATATTACTTAAATGATTCTCTCTTCCCATGGACAGTATAACTAGTATTAATTACTACAGTGAAAAATAGCAAAAACAGTAAATACATTTTCCAAATAATATAAATACTAGCACAACTGAAATCCAGTTTGGATAATTTCATAGGAGAATGATAAAGAAATAAGCTACAAGCATGAATATAATACATGACAGCACTCTTAAACTTTTCTTTTTTCAAAAAATTTCAAATCTTTTGATGATTTTTATTACATAGCAGTATATGGCTACATACCTACAACAATCTCTCGAACTTCCTTCCACTGAAAATCTATCATTGGTTCATGGACTAATGTAATACGGATACGCCTTTGAATGCCTTGATGCAATAAAAACGTTCCTCTGCAAGGGCTGTCATCATTGTGATCAACAACAGCTGGAACATATCTAGAAATTATAAAATTAATATGTAAGAATGAATAAAAAAGATACTTTATGAAATAATTTATTAATTAATTATGCAATAGATACTTACTCTCCATTGGGTTCCAATTCACAAATTTCAAACCAAACTAAAAGATCATGCCTAGCATGTACATGAGTCGTGCTGAAAAAAGTAAATGTTCAGTTAAAATTCAAGTATATACAATTGATGAAAATGTCATAGTTTCATTTATTTGAATGAGATTCTTACTTCAAATTTGAAAACATGAAAACAACTGCTTAGAAAAAACTTCATAATTTAATTACTTATTTATATAAAATTATATTTTCCTATTGCTAATCACTACTGTTTCTAGGAACCTTAAGCAACCTTAAGGAAAGATATACACAAATACACTAAGTCAGCTATTACTATAAGAAGTAAAAATTAATTTGCAGCTTAAAGTAAAACTAGATCTTTTAACTGCAGAATGCAGTTTTGAATACCAGTCTTTAAAATAAAATAACACTAGATAAGCACACAGATGAGACATTAATGATGATGAATTCTGATAAATGATGTAATAAACGTTTCTTTTTTCTTTTCTGATAATTTTTTTATTTATATAAATAAATCATGGTTTAGTAACAACTCAATAAGTAATAGTGATATTTTTCATATATAAATTTTGGTTGCAGAAGCGTTAATGTACCTGCCCCATAACAAATTTCCTCTCAATTTCATGGATTATGTAATGTTCTTATTACAAACAGATCTGAATCAGATTGTTAGTACTGTCACATCTGGATTAGCAATCCTCAACCATTTTCAAAATGATTATAGGTAAGTGTTTCCCTGTAATTGTTTTACAACTTTTCATAACTTATGATCTTGAATGTAAAATTCTATTAAGTATTGAAACATGACACGACTTCTTAAAAAAAATAAATAAATAAAACAAAAATGTAGTATTGAAAGAAGCAATTTTACTAAACTAATTTCAAGAATTGGTGTTGCTTTAACAGATGAAAATATTACATGTGATATCTTAGAGGAACATCTAGATACTTTAGTTGAAAAAATGAGTAAATTAAAATTCTTAGATAGTCAAATTGAATATTTAATTGATGAAAACTTAATTGAGGAAGAAGAAACCACTAGTACTGATTACCCAGAAAATGTATTGGATATAGCAACAAACATAAACATTTATTGAAGCAGAAAATTTGCTATTTTAAATTTAAACCATCAACATCAGAAAACAAATGTTAGTAAAAAAAGCAAAAAAAAAAAAAAAAAAAAAAAAAAAAAAAAAAAAAAAAAAAAAAAAGTACTTCAAATGACAGCTCAAATTTATTCCCTTCAGTTAAACTTCCTACCACCACATTCAGAAGATCTGAACCACATTCAGAAGATCTGAAATATGAAAAGCACTATTGATGGAAGTGATTCACCTTTGAAAACTGAAAACTTTGCTTATTTAAAAACGTACTTCACTGGAGAGTGTTAAATGCAGTATCTGGCTTTCAGTTAACTGATAAAAATTATGACAACTGCATAAAATTCCTTAAAGATCATTTTGGTTATAAAGATATCATCCCTGATTCTTTTATGAGCAGAATTTTAAACTTGCAAAGAGTTAAAAATTCTTCAAATGTTCAAGCTTTGAGAAAGTTATATGATGAGCTCGATACCACTGTATGAAATTTAGATTCAATGCAAGAGGATTCAAAATACTATTGTTCACCTTTAATTTCAATTGCCCTAAATTTATTGCCAGAAAATCTTGTTTTAGATTTTAAGTAATACAAATTAAAAATGTGATGTTATAATTTCTTATAACATCACATTTATAAGATGATATAATCTTATAAGATGTTGTAATCATACTATTTTAAAATGTGAGATTGAATGTCATGAATCAATATTTTTAGCTTTACATGATAGAAAAGGTTTATCAACAAATTCTAATAATTAACAGACATCTAAATGTTATAACTGTAACAGATTTGGTCATTTACCTAAATTTTGTCCCAACAAACATCACAGATGCAAATGATTACCTTGGGGAAATTTCAATCAAAAATCCCTTCATTTGTCTTAGAAATAACTCAGAAGCAAAATACTGTGGGGGGAAGGATATTGCAGCTAACTTTGCAAGGTTATAAAGTACAAAGTCTGTAATCCGGACTTATTGGGACTTCAACGATTCCGTATTAGGGTTTTTTCCGGATTATAGATCATCAATTTAAATCTGGTAAGATGGCATGCAGAAATTTATACAATTAAAAATATGAAACCATAATTTATGAAATAAAGAGCAATTACGATCTAAAGAGTATCAAAATTTACACAAAAAAAGCTTAATATTTATTTGTTTACTTAATAAAACACTTTTTTCAGTGTAAGTAGTTTAAGTTGCTTTGTTTTTTGTGCTAATACTTTCTCTTTAATTCTATAAACAGACATAATTTCTTGTTCAGTTACAAAGTTACACTGTTCAAGTTTTGTGATTGCTGTGTCGAGAATACCGACTAACTTGTCATGCAAAATTTTTTTATTTTCAGTAACCTCTCTGTCACTTTCTTCACTATCGGAAATGCTTTATGCGCATGCGTAAGTTTGTAGCTTTGAGGTCTGGATTATAGATCATTCCGGATTACGAACTTTATACTGTATTTTACTTTACTGTATTTAGATGATATAATTTTCACAAAAGATGAAGATGAAAGTATTAAGTGCTAAAAATACATTTTCTCAATTGCTTCTGATTATGGACTTGAAAAGAAATCTATATTTTTAAGTTACAGAACTGAATTCCATGGTCACATCATTGAAAATTATAAACTGTTACCACCTACTCTTAAAACAGCTGTAATTATCCTGAATCCAAAAGTTGCAGAAACTTACGTTTTCTTGTTCTTGTCAGATATCTTCATAAATCTCTAAATTTTTCCATAAATGCTTAACTAATCTCTTTAACTCTTTCACATAGAAGTCACCCCAAATGCCCACCATTCAGACAATGGCAGGTCATACGAACGTCTGAATTATTTTCTACCTGGTGCTTTCTTCCATCATGTTAGTGCCTGACTCATTGCTTTTCGGTGTTGTTAAATGACATGCCAATTATTCTTTTGAAGTGACTAAAAGTAGTTATGTTATTTCAATGCACCTTCCTTCTCTTTTGTTTAGCGTCAATATTTATCTATTGATGGTTGAAGTTACAATCCTCTCCTAAGGGGCAACGGCACACAGTGGTGAAAGCACATAAAGATCCTAACAGAAAGGTTTTCACTTTGCTTAATTAGGTTATTATTAGCATTGTAGCAGTCTACTTGGCATGGGGGAAGCAAATTAATTCCAACAAAAATACATATAGGTATACAGGTGTTTCAGATGTTTGAGAGAAACAGATTTTGGCCTCTCCCGATAGGAAAGAGTTAAGAAAGGTAATGACTTCAACGGTGGAGGGGGGAGGAATAAACTTTTAATCTTTTGAAATTTTTGAATTTTATTTTATGTGAAGAACCTGCACTTAGTGTCTATAATCAGCATAATGATACTGAAATACACACTTATGCTGAAACCTTTCCATGGTTATGGTTGCATTCTCATGGCAAGATCAATGACTGATAATTGCCTACATCCTATTTATTGCATGAGCAAAAATACATTTGATGCTGAAAAATAATTTACCAGTTATGAACATGATGTATTTATTAGTTGAAATTCAAGCTTTGAGAAAATTTAGACTTTATCTTTTAAGGAAACACTTCAAAGTTATTACTGACTTTAATACTTTCAAAATGGCAATGAACAAGAAAAACCTAAGTATACAAAGAAGTTATTGACTTTGAATTAATTCGAACAAATGAATTTTTTAGTTGCAAAGTTACAAAAAATTTGACGTTTTGAACTACAAAACAGAACACCTAACAGGAACACGAAAGACACATGTTGATGCGCTAACAGATCCCTTGTTACAATTATCATTTAAACAGCCTCATTAAAATTGCTCAAGAGCAAGATGATCAATTTCAAGCTATCAAAGAAGTCTTTGTTAAACCTTATAATGACTATTGTGTTAAAAGTTATTTCATAAATTTGTAGACAGTAACCAATTCCTTGCTATTTGAGAATAAATGCAAAACAATATAATTAAGGTGGTGGTGTATTTAATTATGGCAAAGCACACTAGGGCTATCTGCCTAAGGGAAGGGATGCCTTCGTGGAGGACTTTCTACGGAAAAGTGGCTTGTATACACGCTACACATGGGTAAAGCCACGAAAACACCCATGCAGCCAGCCCGTTTGCGGGATTTGAACCTCGGACCAAACTACCAGTGTTCAGCAACTTTACCGCTCAGCCACTGGTGGGACCAATATAATTAAGGACACACATCTTTGTTGACATTTTGCTTTTAAACAAACTGAAGAAGTCGTAAAACACAAATTTTTTCACAGTCAAAAGTCTTTAATCCGGACCTCAAAGATACGAACTTTCTGCGCATATGCGTTAACACATGCGCGTTTAATGTATAACGGACGGTATAAGCTATGCTAAAATTATCTAATTATCTATTTCAGTTAATGTTACAGATTGGGTTTTCCCATAATCTTCGAATTGGATACGGCTTATTATTTTTTGCAGACTGTTAGAGCAATTTTATTAAAGTAAGCTTGAACTTTCGATTATGTCAAAAAGAATTTCCGATTCTGGAGCTGCCAAAGGATCTACAAAGCAAAAGCATGTTTCGATGTCCATCAAACAAAAAGTGGAATTGCTGCAAAAAATGGGTAAAGGCATATCTTTTGTTTCTCTAACCATTCCGAAATCTGTTTATCAATTTCACGCTGCTCTGTGGGAGGGGGGGGGGGCGTAGCGGCACGCAATGAACTGGAAGTTGATCTGTCAGCACTATCCTTATCTTCAGGGCAGATGTCTTTATTTTATTCAGCTTATAATTCCTTACTAAATGTAGTATTTCACCTTGATGTACTCCGTCTTTGATATGATTTAAATCAAATTCCTCGTCATTATAAATATCACGAATACACATCAAATAGTTTTCTGGTTGCTATTTTCTAATTTCGACATCAAATAGTTTTCCGGTTGCTATTTCTAATTTTGACTAATGTATGCTTTGCGCATGCGCACGTTGAAAGAAATGTTTAATAAA